CCCCAAAACCCCAAAACCCCAAAACCCCAAAACCCCAGCATTCTTACAAGTGTTAATAATAAAATTATTGTGTTCTAGAAATGAACAGGATATTCGTATTTTTAGTCATTGCCATGCAGGTGGTATTGGTGTATTGTGGAAAGGACTACTACAGATTACTTGGAATCAAGAGAACAGCTAATGAGAGAGAAATCAAGAAAGCATTCAAAAAATTGTCTCTAAAGTACCATCCAGACAAGAACAAAGACAATCCTGAGAAGGCAAAGGAGAAATTTGTAGAGATAGCAAATGCTTATGAGATTCTATCTGACCCAGAGAAGAGGAAGATCTATGACCAGTTCGGAGAAGATGGGGTGAACCAAGCTCAGCAACAAGAAAACCAAAGAAATGCAGGACAAGCTCATGGATTTGGAAACATGAATATGGATGATATCTTTAATCAATTCTTTGGAGGAGGCGGTGCTGGTCCTGGTGCTGGATTTGGAGGACATGGAGGAAACTTCCACTTTGGAGGTGGACATCACCAACAACAGCATCAGCAGCAACCACGTGTTGATTATTTCGAGAACTCTGATGTGACAAAGTTAAACATGCAGACTATCTCTTCTTTCTATAGAAGAAATATAGTATGGGTAATTTTCTTTTACAATCCAAAAGATTCTAAGATAAAAGAGAGAGCAGAGCAATTCAAAATACTTTCAGAGAAAACTCATGGAATCATTGGAGTCGGAGTGGTAGACTGTGAAGAGGACGAAGAGATTTGAGAAGAATTTGAAGTTTATGAAGCCCCCAAAGTTAAGATATTCACAGAGAAGGTTTCAGATTCTGGAAAATTCTATAAAGGGAAGTTTGATTGGAAGAAGATCTCAAATAAAGCAACTTCAATCATGGAATCATTTGTATCAATTGTGACAGAGCAGAACTATGGGAACTTTATGAATAGGGAAAAAGGAAATTTTAAAGTGTTGTTATTTACAAATAAGAAATCAACTCCAGCAGTATACAAAGCATTGTCTAAATTCTCAAAGAAAATGACATTTGGATTGGTGAGACACGCAGATCCATTAACACATAACTTTAAGATCACTCATCACCCATCTTTGTGAGTTGTGACTAATCATTATGAGTATAAAACTGACTGATATACAGGAGAAATATCACTGGAGAAGCTAAAGGATTTCTTAAGACAATATCTTACTGGCAAAAAGATTGCTAACGCAGATATCCAATCAGGACTTGTTGAATTAACTAAGAAAAAATATGAAACTGGATTGTGCGGAAAACACGAGTCTAAATTCTGTTTAATTTTCTTCTCAACAGGGTCTCATGCTGATAGAAGGACCCAACTATCTATCGAGAAAGTGATGTCTACATTATCAAAGTCTCCTATTATCTTCACATATGTGGATATGAATCAGAACGAGGAGTTTTATCACCACTTTGGCACAAAGAAGCAGACCATCATGTATCGCCCTAAGAGAAACAGATATGCTGAATTCACAGGTGAAAAGGCAGATGCTGAAAGCTTGCAGATATTTATCGATGGGATCCTTAGTGGAAATGGAAGATTTACCAAACTAGATTCAGTTCCTTCGTTTGAATACAGAAATGAAGACTTGTAACTATCTTTACTTTATATAAAAGGCATGCAAATTTAGTGTCATTGGAATATTATGTTAGAAATTATCTTGAAAAATAGCATTGTAGTCCGGGATATTAAACTTCTTATATAGTGCTTTTTTGAAAAACTTCTTATACTTTGAAAGTCCAGAGTCTTTATCTCAAAATTCATCAATCAGATTTAAGAAGGGTTTTATCTTGATATTATCCTGATTGATTACCATATTCTTTTCAAATATTACTTGATCTAGGTCATCCTTGATGGTTATACGAATGCAACGGGGCTTGTTCTCATTAGTACTGTCCATTTCTTCATCTTTAGACTCTTCTTTTTTATCTTCTATTTCTATTGATACCATAGTGTCGTCAGATTTATCCTTGTTACACTCGGAATGATCCGATGAGCTTTGCCTTTCGCTCTCTGAAGGTATTCTAGGAGCTTTCCCGGGTACTGACATATCTGATGATTTCTTGAGAGATTCATTCTTTGAAGGATGAGTGTGTTTGGAGAAGTTATTTGAGCTTAAGCAAGGACTATGCTTCTTAGCTCTCTTTCTTTTTCTTCTTGGCATAATATCACCGTCAGTGAGATCTTCATTAGGATGAATCTTTTGTATTTCAATCGAGAATCATTCGGAATCTGAGCATTGATCGTTGTATAAATCATCTAGAGTTTAAAACATTAAATACCTTTGCGCTTATTTTGAGAAGGAGAAATTGGCTTTTCATTGAGAGAGAGTTCACTAAACATTTTCTCAATTCTCATTCTTTTGTACCCTTTCGAGTAATAATCCAGATTGGGTTCATCATTTTCCATCATTGTTTCAAATTGCTTTACATTATCTAAATCATATCAGGTGCTGTGTCCAAACGATCTTACTTTTACAATCTCTTTTTCAGGAGTTCTTTGGGTTCCAAACATTATTTTCTATAATGGATAAGAAAGTTTCAAAACAAGTCTTTATGGACTAGTGTGGAAATAAATAATGAAATGGAGGCTCTTACTTCAAAATTTCTTAAATTTCATTTTGTATTCTATAAATCTATTATCCCTGCTTCTAAAATTGAGATGAGACACATATGTGTTGAAAATTTAGATATTACTTACGGGAGAGGCTCTAATAAGTTATGGGTTTGCTCCATTTCTGAATAATTCAAATAATTATATTCAATTGAATTGCAATTAATCGGGGTTTTGGGGTTTTGGGGTTTTGGGGTTTTGGGG